ATCAACATCAACTTCCCTGGTGTTCTCTTCCAGCATGTTGATGGCAAGCTTGTCAATCCTCGAGCGGGTTACCTGCTTTTCATTTACCTGTGGTAATTTATCAACTGTCATTAATTGGTGCAACTGCTGGTCCGGTTGCTGTGTAGCACATGATGTGAACAGAATGCCTCGGCCCTCCAAAGTTTTACCAGGGATTTGGAGACCTTGGTGACCAAGGACAGTCCAGCCAAACAAGGTGTTTACTGCCACGGGGGAACTACACTTTGGACCACAGCAGACTTCAGACGAAAGCGTGAGTTCGACATGGTCCGCACCGATGAGCACAGACGGTTGAACCCTGTGGGCCGAAAACAATGCTAGCCCTCGTAAGTGAGGCCACTTGTTTTGTAGATCCTCTGCAGACACACTGTAATCAACTAGCTGAACGTCTGGGGCGCTGAAAGCACACTGTATGCCATTCAGACAGTTCGTGGAGGCTGGTGCGGTGGTCACCTTCGCATTCTTTACACTTTTTAGGATACACACATTCCTTCTCATGTTTCTTTGCACATTTTTTTACATCGTTGGTTTGTCGTCAACCACTGCAACTTCTGTTCTCTTGTCAGGCCCTGAAATTTTTGACAAGTTTCGAGGTAGTGGCCTGATTCTCTGACTTTGCAATACAAACAGCTAATCCTCTGTGGAGTCATTGCAGATGCATTGCTTTCACTCGGGACCTTGGTCTCAGTAGCAATCTTCTTTCTGACTGCTGATGCAGTCGCTGCTGACTGAGGACTGGCTTTGGCCATGTAAGATCTGGATGGATACGGTTGGTTGGATGGAGACTTCTTTTGCCCCTGACTCCGCCATTGTGAAGACTCCCTGGGGGACTTTGACTTGCTTGCCTTTTCTAGGAGGATCAAACTAGCTGGGCCAGTCTTCTTCTTTAACCATCGATTAAGATCATGTACTGTGTATCTCATACCATGGCCTTGATTCCACATTTTGGACAGGAATTCTGAGTGAAGCCTCTCAGGCAATTTTTTGACAAGCTCAGTGGCATAGCGGTGGTGCTTAAGCTCATCACTAAAGTCCAATTTTTCAGCTGTTTCTACTGCTGTGGCCAGCTCATCTGAGAAGTCACGGAGTCCAGACCAATCATTGTACGCAAGGACAGGACGGGCCTCTAGCTGATTGAGTAGGCCTTGGACTATTCGTGCTGGATCCCCATATGCCTTATGCAACTGCTTCATTGTCGCCGCATATGCTCCATCTCCCAAGATGAGATTACGGTCAGCAATGGCTAGAGGACGACCTCCGAGATGACTTCGTAGGTAGGTGAATTTGGTGGCATCTGGCAGTTGATGCATGGGGCCTTTCATGATGCTGTCCCATAGAGATCTAAAGGTTACATACTGCCNTTGGCAGCAGGAGTTGGGGATTTGTCCTTAGCCTTGGAAGATCCCTTAAAATACAGACGGTTTAGAAACAGTTGAACGGTTGGTGTTAATCCCCCTTCATTCCGTTCGTCTTATGGTGTTGGACAGTTCAACAGTTTGAAAAGAACCGTCTGCCCTGGACTGTCTAGCTTCACGAGCAACCCTGACAACAATGGAGTTTGTGGCTTACACAGCCATGGTTGTGAACAAAAGATCCTATTCAGGCAGAACTTCATTGGCCCTGGTCAGCCTTCCTGGGCTGGCCGTGAGGATTAGTGGTTAACACCTTGTGATAGGAAGACACAAAATCAACTGCATTCCAGGCTAGAGACATTTATCTAGCTTTATATACATTTTGAGTGGGTATTTCATGACAAAAAAGCATCGCCCCAAGATAATTGTTCGTGTTTAAGCGTTTTTTAGACTGGAAAATAAATGCGTTTATATGGGAGTGACGGGGAATGCCAAAAACGGTTGCCTCATTTTACCGCCTAATCTATCGTCTATGAAAGGAAATATTCACGTAGACGCAATGTGAATTTATTTGGAACTTCTGTCCCGTGTACCATATTCTTTGAAGGTAATAAAAAAAATGTCAAACTCCACATCAAATAGTGCTGCAAGTATGTGTTCGGTTCAGGCAGGGCTTGGACATTTTTTGCCGAACTTCGGATCGGTTGGGTTCGGACATGTACACACATGTACAAGTACAATGCACACTGAGACATGAAAGGCTCGCTACGATCGTGCTGCAAAGGCCTATAAAGTATTCCTACGTGTAAAATTATGAATCTGCTATCTCTCCCGATCCGCGAGCAACTTTGATTTGAATACCTTTTTTATAAACTTTTTCCCCAGAGTTTGTTTACGAGTACATTCCATATAAAGTTATCTCGAGGGTGTGACAGTTTCCGACCGTGTTTTGCCGACCAGAGGCAGTTGTGTTCAGACTCAACAAAACGACCGTAAGATTTGTGCAAATAGAAAAAAACAGCATGCTCAATTAGGACTTTCCTCCAGTACAGAATACAAGATTAAAATCAAATTTCGAGCAAATGTGTTTTGGTTATTTTTGCGAAATAGATGGCTTTTGAAAACTACGAAAATGGCTTTCGTTGCATATCTGAGGGGGAACCTCTCCAAGGACAGCGTGCACGTGACCAAAGGGGCGATTTTTCATCAGCCTCTTTTGAAGGAATAACAGCATTTTGTTATTTGAGATCTGACAAATTCCATTACAACGCATCTGCACTACGATCAAACCCTTCACGGTCAACTGAAAGGCAAGTTAGGCCACCGCGCGAACAAAAATCTCCTTGCGCTGCGCTGAAGCACAGCATGCACCAAACCGCTTGGCAAGCTTTTTAAGTTTAATAGGTAAAGCCAAACACCAGAGATAAGTATAAAACCCCACATGTTTGTTTTTCCAACAAGAATTTTGTGCAGCCACAAAGTATTCAAAGAGTACAAAAGAGTCGTACGTATAAAACATATTGCAACGTGCACGCATTTACTATTGATTTAAAGAAAAAACATGTACTTGTATCCTTAAATCGTGCAGGTGCAGCTTCGAAGCAGAAAGCGCGTAGTTCGCGTACGTGTCTTCCTCGAACCTGCGAGCGCGCAATGCTGAGTCCCAGCTTGTGCACACGGGCACAAAAAAAGGTTTTATCTTTGACTACATGTTGGCGAACAGAACACTACGTCGTGTATGATTCAGGTAAATACTATTTCGAGTTAGTATATTCGATTCTGCAGGTATACAGTTAGGTGTGTATTTAACTCACGATACCGAGACAAAATATCAAGATTACAGGGTATTGCAACCTGAAAAGACTGGGTCTGGAAACTGACAGCGCAACACAACTACTCAATACTTGTGTTTTATCAGGAAGTTAAAACAGTCTCCCGATCAAAATCCTCCAGCGGAGCTGCAAAGTAAAGAGCTATTGTTATGACTAATCCACCAGACCACAGAACTCTATGATGCCGTAATGCAATGAGCTGTCCATTGTTTACTGGAAGCTGCAGAGTGCACGACGTACTCGACCGCAACGGTTTGGCCAGCCTCGCTGAAGCGTTCGTCTTTACGATGTTGACCGTCCGTGAGGCTTACCGTTTACAAAGCGTTGGACGCTTTCAAAAGCGTTTGTATTTTGACCTCACGCCTTAGAACAGTGTGAATGTTTGCTACCTTTATCACTCTTTGATGGGTCGTCATCATTGGAGGAACTTGATTCGCCCTGTTCTTCACCACTGGAAGTGTCTGTGTCCTCTCTTGAGGTCGATGGCTCTGGAACCTTGCCATTCTTGGTGGACTGCTGCCTGGGGGCACCATGCTGGGTTGGGGATTGACTGCCCACTCCTTCCATGGCGGATGCACCACTGGTTGGTGAGAACTTGGAAACTGGCATGTCACTGAACAAACGAACTGTGGGCAAAGACTGAACTAACACGGTGTTAGGAAGAAATACGGAGGCATTTGGGTTAAAGACTTGTGGCAAGGAACTGGCCACTTGTACGCCTGCTGCCTGGTGTGAAACATACGAGTCTGCCATAACACACGAAACCGGCGCATTTATTACCCCAGGAGGATGAGTGCTTGCCGCCCCGTGTGAAATGTATGCGCCTGACATGACATGCGAAATGTGCGCGCTTGCTGGCCCAGGAAGGTAGGTGCTTGCCGCCCCGTGCGAAACGTATGCGCTTGACATGACATGTGAAGTGTGTTGACTTGCTGCCTCACGAGGGTTAACACTTGTCATGGGGATGGCCATGCTGTGCTGCATTAACGGTACAGGCTCGGGCATGCGCGCGTTAAGATTGACAGAGGTATTCATACCAATATCAGCCAACATGGATACAGAGGGCTCAGAAGTACTTACCCCTTCATTTACCCAAGCAAAGGTTCTATCTTTAACTGACTCCACCTGCCCTGGTAAGTGACCACCCACGTTTGTTTGGTCTTTTTCTTCCTGATAAATTACATCAATTTCATGTCTCAGTCTCTCAGTTTCTAGTTCTATCTCTGCCCGCCTCAAATCTGAGTTGATTTGAATTTCCATCTGCTTGGCTTGGAACTGGACTTTCGCTCTTTCCTCTTCCGCCTTCCTCCTGAGCTCCTCCAGTTTCCTGCGTGATTCCTGTTCAGCAAGACGTCTTGTGATCTTTGACTTGGATGATCTTGCTGAGGAGTTGCGTGAGGTCCCGCTGTACATGGAGGGAGGTCGTCCTGTATCGGGCACATCAGCATCCGCAGGTTGCCTGGGCAGAGAAACACTTGGTTGATGAGGAAAACTTGAAGGCTGTATGACATGGTGGTCATGGGCCTCGGGAACATGTCGCGGATAACGCCCTTGGGTTTCTGGAACATGTGGCGGATAATGCTCTTGGGCTTCTGGTACATGTGGATAATGTCCCTGGGGATCCGGAACATGTGGCGGATAACGCCCCCGACGAACATGTAGGGTTTCTTCAGCTTGGGTTTCAGTAGTGACAGACATGTTGAACTTGACAGTTCTTAGTTAGCTGGATGTCATCCGGCTCGAAGGACCAATTTTCTGTAGACTA